TTCTCCTTACATTCTCACCCCCGAATCACACATTAACTCTTTAACTCCCAAGATCTGATTGATAATTCTTCCCTTTGGCTGTTACATATTTCCTTATGAATAAGCTATGGGAATTTGGTTTTTTAATCAAGATAACAACTTCTTCCTGATATGTTTTAGTATTCTCACCACCCGTTCGTTTGATAACGTTTGGATATTATAGGGAGAAAGTACATGTTAATCACCCCTGGGAGCTAAAGGGTTAAGGTCACAAGAATAAAGGAAATTTTCAGCGACAAAGGAATCTCCTGATTGTTCAACAAATTTTCCTTGTCAGCACGTTGAGAAACTTAACGTATAGAAAGCAGGTGTTAATTTAATAAAACTTTGACACGTGTAATCTCCAACTAGGACCATAGTGTTTCAAAGTGCAGACGAAGACGAGTATAATAAACATTGCTACAAGTCCAGGTTTCAAGTTTCCGATTTGTAATTACAAGTGTAGTGCTACAAGTGTAAAAGATGGTAGGGATCAAATTTAATAACACTTTTATAAGAGTCCAACTTGGATTTTTACCAGAGTCCAACTTGTAAATCACAAGTGCAAAATATAAGTCGCATGTCACTTGCAAACATTAAGTTAGACTCTGCAAAAGGACATTGGAACGTCACAGTATGCCATTTTCTGGTGAAGAGGAACTCGACAAGCTGCTGAGATGTCAAGTTATCCGCCAACCAAGGAATTTCCAAAAAAGCCGGCTTTTCGACATCGCAAATTCAAGGCAATTTCTGGAGAAGTTTCGTCTGCCTGTGCACGCCCTCGTCCACCTTTTAGAATTAGTAGGTCCGTGTTTGGAGCATAGAAACGACACTCAACAGATCTGCTGGACGACGCAGATCTCGACAATGTCCACGAAGAGTTGGCTATCGGTGATGGAGAGGAACAAGAAGACAGAGAGGCGCAGTTGCTGTAGCACTTACTCCAGTGTGAGGATTGATACAAATTACGCTCAATTAAAAACTGCACCTGTTTCAATATCGTGCAAAATCAAGAAGCTATTTTTTATTCAATGACGATAATTATTACATTATATTGCACAAAGTACACATATACCTAACCCCCGAAGAAAAAAAGTAAGTGTACATGTGGGTCATAATTCTGATATTATCTATCACCAATTAAAGTACTCCTCCGACTATCAATAGTATTGTTATATAATAAGTCCGGTAGATGTCCAAAAGGTTATCAATATCATCATTTTAATTTGCATTTTAGACGCCGTTTAATGAAATTAATTTTTTTTAAGTCTTTTTGTCTCCAATCTCAGCTTATTTTTTTTTAGTTGGAGGTTTCTCTTAAGGCGCAGTATGTCGTCTTCTATTGTCTTCTTGTCTGCAGTTACAATTGATGATCTCTCTTTAGCCATGAGAGCACCTCCCTTTCCAGCTGATGGCAAAGCTTCGCGTCTGATTTTTGTTGGCGTTTGTGTTTCGGCGACTGCCTGTTTGAGTAATACTTGTAGTGAGCGGGCACCGTTACGTTACACTTACTTCTTCCATTTCACCACTCTCAGTTTCTACGGTAGAAACTTGCACTTCATCAGTGTAACTTCCAACGTCACCTGTTACAATGAAATTGAACATAACGATAAATTTATTATCTCTGGGTTAGCGGTCGCTCCGTTTCGTCCGTGTTGGGAAAGGGTAAGTGTTGCAGGGTGGGGTTAAGGGTTTCTTTAAGATCTGAGTTGGTTTATAAAACTTTTACTCCAGTTTGGCAACATATGATAGTTCTTTCCCCTTGCATGAGTAAAAAATGACGATAGTAGCATTCTCATTTCATTACCAATAGGACTTGCACGTTTAACAGGGTTGAATCATTTACATATGGATTATAATTATTTCAAAAACTCATTAACAATTCATAAGCCCATTAACCTATCAAATGGTAGATAATGCATCACGTGCAGTGACTTTGTATCGATAAACCTCATCCTTATTAGTATGCGGTGTTTTATCAGATATAAAGACACTGCACGTGACTTATGAATATTAATTAATTATCAACACAGAAACTAATGTTTTTCTCGTATGCTAATTTCTAACGTTCACAAAAGCATAATTGTTATGAACTCTCTTGACACACGCTTTTCCAAGAATGTTTTTGAAGCCGTTCAAAAAACTCGCAGCACGTGTTTTATCGGGTCAAAACCACTCGGCTACGCCTCGTGGTTTTAAACCCGATAAAACACTCCTGCTCGTTTTTTAAACATTACTTTAACTTCAACGCAAGGAGCTGTCGTGACAACGATCTCCAAATACAATATCCGAATCGATGACCTTCACTGGCTCTATGTTGGCGCTTTTACGACCTAAAACATTGAGGACAGTCTCGTCTAGCTCAGTGAGCTCTCAACTCCCCACCCTCCCTCCTTGCAATAGTCTTGATTCGCTTATTTTTTTGAGTGTAAGTCTGCGAATGTTGGCTCATTAAATATTTCGGAGTGTTTTGACGCTGTCTTTGTTTGCGCCAAGGCTGTTTTATTACGTGCAAATCTTTTCCCAGGCTGCTTGCTTTACTTTCTTCGTCACGGTCGACGAAAATGGCACCAAAACTATCATTTCAGTTATGGGAAACTTTTACTGCCGGTTTACATAACATGCTAAACGGCTCTTGACGAATAAAACAGAAAGCAAACGAAGCAAAGCCGCATGTATTGAGAGGACAGCAACAATTGTTAATCGCATGTGTAAAAAATATACCTACATTCGAGCGGAATCTACAGTTGTAAGAGGGGTCATTGGGGTCAACCTTTAGCTGTAAAACAGTCAAGAAAAATTGGTCGTTAGTCGCAAAAAAATTTAATCGTGAAAATTTCCTTTAAAATCAACGAGAAAAATTTTCATAAGCCGTAAAATTCATCATCCCATTGCGATCCTCTTGTAGTTCTTACTATTGTTATTTACACTTGTGTAATGACCCGAAATACACGTATAAATTCTGGTGAGGAATATTGTTTTATTAAATATTGATATTTACAAGTCGGACTTTACCCGTGTACATTACTCGTGTAAAAACTTCAAGTATATTTTCCTTATCAAATTGACCCCAGTATGGAGAATATGCATGCTGATGTTAGAATGTAAAAAGTTCACTTTTCAGTTCAATCAAAGTTCGAGCGCAAAACTTGTTCAAAATACTGTCACGTTTTGCTGATTTGCAGTTTACAACATGTTACTAGTTCTGCTTGGTAAACAAAGAATATTAACCAGATTTGAAAGAGGAATATTTGAATCTTGCCAGGTTTGGATGCTAAAAAAACATACGTCACTTCTTCAATTTTATCGATTGGAGACGTACTTCTCTGCTCTCCTCCTCTGGAATCTGGGAATTGCTGGTGCTTTGTGAAAAAGTGGAACGTCGACGTATTGTACCCAGCGAATTAAATTTACCCAGTGTGGTCGACCTAAGTAACTTCCGATATACAGATTGAAATCTCTTGTTACGGAAGGCAAACAGAAAGGGGTTGAGCGCTGAGTTAAGGTATCCTAACATAAGAAGAACCAAGTAGAGTTCATAGGGATATGGGTCCCATGTATCACCGATTAGGTTAGCGATAATGCTGAAGTAGGTGAAAGGCTGCCAGCAGAGAAACATGACAACTACAAACATGGATGTCGTTTTGGCTGCTTTCATGTTCCTTGAGTACATCTTGTTATCTTCTTTAGTGGGCTTAAAGGTTGACGGCAAGCCCCCTCTTTTGTTAACGTTGTGGTGCTTGCGAGCGATGAGGTAAATGAGGATGTAAAACACACATGTGAGAAGGAGCGGAAAGATGAAATTCATGATAGAAGTGAGAAGGTTGTAGACAATGGTATAAGGTACCGAACAGGTACCTTTGTAAATTGGCTCGACACTTCTATCTCGCCATCCCATGATCGGAAAGAGTGCCCACACAATGCAGTAAGACCAAACAACAGCGATAACAATCAAAGATCTTCGTTGAGTGATAAATTGCGAGCGTCGAAATCGACCGAGTGGATCCTTAAGGGTCTTATAGCGATCCACGCTGATGGCCAGAAGAGTAAAGATCGATGTCGGTACAGTGATGAGGTAAACCGTCAGAAAGGTAATACACATCGTTTTGCCATGTTTCCACCTTCCGTTCAGAAAGAGTAATTCAATGTCAAATGGCACGGCAAGAGTTACGGTGAGAAGATCCGAGATTGCCAAAGACAGGAGAAGGAGGTTTGTCGGGTTATTACGGAGATTTCTGTTGGCAAGGATAGCGTAAGAGACCATCAGGTTGCCAATGATGGCTACTACCACGATGACAATATACAGAGAAGCGATTGGGTAAATGAAGAGCGGGGAGAAACCGAAGAAAGGTTCTTGAATTCGAAGACCGCTGGAGTTGTGATCAGAAGAGTTGTTCATCCTGAGTAATGTTAAGCGTTTCCGCGGCCTCTGCAAATGTTATTGAACCTTGAAAGGGAGCCAACGATTGAGAGTGCGTAGATGAAAATCTCCGGAAACTGAACTTTGGTGTGGTGTTCGCTGAAGCGAATGAGTGTTGCAGTACCAAAACAATCTTTTTATGTATGCATTCGATAGCATTTACCTGACGAAGAGACAAATATCTGTTATATTACCCGAGAAATCTTAGTGGATTTGATTAATCGTTTTAAAAGAGGTAAGCGTCTTAATCCTGACCAATATCTCCGGCATATTTTGAGTTACTGCTGTTTTCTGCAACTGAAGCTCAATATTTCTTTAAGATATAGTGTTTGGCAATTTAATTTTATCATCACTACCGCTGGGTGTTAAGATATAGAACTTCAGGAATCTTGGACAAATACGGATTTTTGAGGAGAAAATTCTAATTGATTAAGAGTAGTTTTTAAGAGGTCTGACAAGATAATGACCACGCACGATTTATGATATTTCCTGATAAAATTTACAACGTAACTAAAAGCATTTCGCGAACCTTGTTTACGGGAAACTGAACGCGGAATATTTTACCAGCGGCCTTAATGCATGAGACGGGTTTTGATTTTGGTGACTATCATCATTGCACAGACAAGATGAAGTAATATCGCTAAAACACAATCTTGAATACAAAGCGAATTATTGAGTAAAGGGTCAAGTGAGAGTACAAATGACAGCTACTACTGTTACAGTTGTTGCTACAGCTACACTGTTAAATTCTCTCGGAAGACTTACTCGAGTTTTGTTTCATGGACAGCAATTGCACGAAAGTAATTCACAAGATAACTCGGGAGTAGTCTCGACGTTTCATGGTTATTTTTGTCATTAAAACAATTTATGTGTTGCAATATTTCCTTCAAGTGTTGTTGAAATACGAAAGACAGAAATAAGTGGACTCATCCGGCGATGTTGATTTGTTCAAGAAGCTTTTACCAAAACATGAATTTAAAAGCTAGAATGTCGTTCTGCCATCATAGCCGAATTGAAATTTCCATTGCATCCTTAGAAAAAAATTTAATCAGATATTTACACTCCAAAGTGCTGAACGAACTCATTTGACTGAGTGTAAGATTTAAGATTTCGTCGGGATTTCGTGTGTAGGATTGACCTTGAGCAGTGAATTGTGACTGTGACTGATATAAAACATATGTTGAAACAGAGAGAATCACTTCGAATTTCTTTGTCATTTTACTTCAGAATTCATCATATATATCGTAAACGAGAGAAGGATTGAAATTGTAAATGAATTACATTTTCACAAGCTTTTTTTTTACTTATTACCGTAGTAGCGCATTTCAGCCAATCTTTAAAGATCTTCAAGACTCTGCGGACAGGAAAATGATATATTAAGATGAGTGTCAAGTTGTAAAAATAGCGCGGTATTTGCACACTCATTTCTAGAGATTGTAAACGTTTTTCATGTCGCTAAGGGAACGATCTGTGTTCCAATATAGAGTTAAGAAGCCTTTTCGTTGTCAAAGAAAACTTTCTATTTATCGCAAAGTTCGGTACTTTACACTGTAAAAGCATTTCAGTTTGAGGAGCACTTGATATTGGTCAAGCTTAAATCGTAATCCATTGTTGTTGTGGCTTTTCACAAGATAGTCACTCACTCCTGTTGTCCGACATCGCTTGTGCGTTAGAGACATTATTGAAGGTTCACTTAACCCAATTTGAACCATCTCTATCATTCTTAAGAAAGCTGCGGTCAAACTTAGATTTGTTTCAATAGGAATAAAAATAAAACAAGTACGATATTAGTAAATCGAATAAAAAAGATGGTAAGTTTTAAGTTCGGTAAGAGCTTAAAAGAATACATAAAGATGTTTTTCGTCTTGTCAAGAGCGTGGGACAAAAAAAGAAATCTGAGTCCCCATGAGGAATCGAACCTTGGAGCTCCGATGCTCAACCACTGAGCCACAGAGACTCTATGGTAAGCGAGGTCTATTACGAAGTTCGTGTTTGACACAGATCCTGCGTACCGCTAGGATCAGCAATGTCGATAGCGTCATGTTTGTAAATAGGATAAGAAGGATTGTAAGTTTTGAGCTCGGGGATCATTCCACGGATTTCAACCTCTTACGCATTCTCGAATGTTCCATGGTGGGATGCTGATTACAAAGAATTCTCCTCAAAAGAAAATAATATCTATGGGCAACCACGTTGCTGAAGGAGTAAAGTTTGCCCATTGTGTAATTCAAAGGGGAACCTCAAAAGATTCGCTTATATCGGCCTATCCTTTTGTAGATCGTTACCTGTATTTAACGAAAAGATTACATTTGGTGGATATACCATATAACGTGATTAAAATGGAAATTGTTTCTTCTCCACGAGGTAAAGTAAGACGATGTTTTCGAGGCGTTTTCATGACAGCTCTTTTTTTAAATAATAATGGCACGGGTTTCTTTCTATTTATTCACTTTTTTTGACGTTAGAAAAACGCCTGCTTATCATGATCCCAGGAGATTTTTCGAATATTAGATATAAATAAAGTCAAATTTAGTAAAAATGAAATATTGAAACAATAAACAACAATATGTATATTGAATTATCACTTATTTATCTTCCCCAAGGAGAGTTCAGTGTCTACCTGCTTCTCCTGGTAAAACTCAGTTATGGTAAATTTGGCCTTCGTCATATGTTTACTCTCCAATTATTTAGCGTTGATACCTTCAAAAAAACATTTAAACCAGGATATATTAACACTTATTTAATTAACCAAGGGGTCTGACACCAGAGTGGAAATATACGTACAGGAAGGCTCTTGTGCGCAAAGCGTAGGAGTCCCATCGTCTTTTTTTGTAATTATGCAACAGGAATAATTACTGTTGCTGTTATTGATGGTGCTCTGCGATGGCTTTAAAAAAAAGTCAACACACTTCATTAATAAGATTAATTCCAGCTAATTCTGTCAAACAGTGATCATAATTAAGGTCCCGTGCACGTTGCATATCCATAAATAACTTAACAAGTCGAGTTTTGTGATTGAGATATGTAAACATGACAACGGTTTTCGCAGACAGCTAAAAAACGTAAACGAGAACTTTATGTATTTTCCAAATAATGTAAAATTTCAAAGTAGTATAGATGTTTTTAAGAGTATAGTTACGAAAGCTGTAGAAACTTTACTATGTTTACTGTTTTAGGCTCATAAAATCCATTAAAATATACATTCGACAAATATCTATGGAATTATATCCCACGGTTGGCATTTTTTATATAGGATCGAGGAGTGTACAAGGACTCGATGTGTTCATGGAAACGAGAAAATAAGCAGTTAAAGTATTTATTGACCTTTGGTGAATTCCTGATATAAATCAACTCAGTAAATGACCGACAGTTGTAACCCTGTCGACAACGAGTACTCCGTACGTAAGTAGGTGGACCATGCGATTGAGAGCTACGAAGTGGCTGGGGTGCAAATCTCAACTGAAGACTAAAAATTTATCGTTGTCCCACCTACATGAAAATTTTCAAACCTCTCTCTCTTTCCTTATTTGTTCTTAGGCCAGAGGAAACATTTAAACAATGAAAATTGTTTACCTCTCAAGATTTTAACAATTAGATTAAGACAGGGTCGTAATGAGGTCGAGATCGTGTGATAGTTTATGTAGGGCGAAGCACGGACAAACTATGTGTGAAAATCGAGGGCGATTAATCGAATTGTCTTGGAGTAAATTTAGCAGCCATCAAGCTGAACAACAAGTTGGGCAATTTTTATAATTGAATCTCTTAGGACCGCGTACTTTTAGACTGTCTACTTAACTCACCATTAATCACTGGATAGAGTGCGAGAAGGGTAGCTAATCAGATTGCAGGTCCATGTCATCGAATTTTTGTTGTAGTGATAGCAATGAAGCTCGCGAAAAGATACCTAAAATATCTTTGTCTACATGGTCGAGGAGGCAGGCCGTAATGTCAGTGACCCGCCATTCTGCTCTCTCAGTGAAAGCCGCGTCGTGATGTAAGATTAAGAGGATGACCAGTTCTCTAAACAGGTAATTTTTAATGTTTGTGATTTATATGAACGTCACAGAAACATACAGTTTGTTAATTTATGAGTTCCTTAGTATGTCCCACAATGTCAACCATCAGTGCTTAGACTAAAAGTAATCCTCGTGAAAAACTGGCATTTAAAAGAACAACAAAAATTGCTGTGTGAAATTTACAAAGATTCGCACCTAATTTCCTCCTAAAGAGGGAGATCACTCAAAGTAATACACAACAGCCAAACTGCGGAAAGGCTAAAACACGCACTGGGGAGTCGCGAAAGCTTACTAACCCCATTTTAGAAGGTTAATGCTGTAGTTGTATGAGTATCATGATGAGGTCAATTTTTATGGTCTCTTTAACCTGTGTGTGGTCAGTTAGGCCTTGTTCTCTGACTTTTACAAACCCATGAAAATCCGAAAATCCCCAGGACAGTGTATGTTGTTTTTATATATTGCAAACTTATGCTTTTCGCATGCACTGACTGCTAAGCTCAAAGAACAATAATTAGGAACCAGTTATTTTTTATTGCCTGGGAGGGCGGATAATATTTTGGGGGAGAGGGGCGGGGGTCACATGGTCTTCAGGGGAAACGAAGAGGGATCTGTCTCCGCTCTACGAGTATAACTGGGGGACTAAAGAAAATTGACTTCCAATTTACTGCCAACGAGAGAGGGCAAGATCATTAGAATTTTGCAGAGCCTTATCGGATAAGGTAAATTTTAGAATCTTTCATCCCCTCCCTCCCCCACACCAGATGACAAGTAAAAGACTGGCTCCTTGGCAGGATCGACTGGAAAATAGGTTTTGTAACCGAATTTGGGTGATCGCACTGTGATCGGACTGTATCAAACATTTTAAGCACTTGTAAGTGCACTCGCTGTGGCGATTTTTTGTCTTAGAATAATGACTATGAGCAAATGCATTTTATTTTCCCCGTCATGAAAAATGAGCGAATCACGCAGTGCCTATTTTAAAAATTTGTGCTTCATTATTGACTGACCAACTTATTCTGGATGACTATCGCAAGATATGACGTAATCTTCGACCAACCAGAACGCAACCATCTCTATAATCACTGATAATAAGCAATTACACCATGTAAAAGATAACGCCCTCCAATTGATATATTTGTCGGTTCTCTTGTCTTGTTTGCTAGTTAATGTGTGTAGATATCCGAAAAAAAATGCTAATCAGCAGTTCTGGAAGTTAAGTGTTATTGGACGTGATTGCACTGCTTGAAGTATAATACCTTCCTCCACTGAACATGGAATCTCAGAAGCGAGAGTCATCTGTGATATGGAAGAGACTCGCCGAGAGTCAGGACTGGGTTTTGGTTTGAGTACCATAATTGAACGCAGCATCTTGGAGTATATAAATTTGAAGCTTTTGCTTCGAAACGCGAAAAGGAAAGGGTTTAACGCAGAGCTCAGGTAACCCAACATTAGCAGGAATGGGTAGGTTTCCGGTGGTATGTGTTGCCGACAGTGTATACATACGCAATTGATTATGGTAAATGTGGAGTAAGGGACCCAACAGAAAAATGACACCCCTACAAACATAGATATAGTCTTTGCTGCTTTAAGGTTTCCTATATAATTGTTCGTCTCTTGAGTGAAAGTTAATTTGCCGCACTCACATCTGCGGGCGGTAGTTACGTTTTTATTTCGCACACTCGCAATGCGATAAATCTTGATGTAAATTCCGCAAGTTATAAGCAAAGGCAACAAAAAGTTGAGGAAACTTGTTACTGTTGTATAACTGCTAATGTATGGGAACCAACATCTTTTGTCATAGGCGAAAGATTCATAGTGGAAATCTCCCCAGTCAGTGTAAGGAATTGAAGCAAACAGAACGGTGTAAAACCATATCAAACAGTTGATCATCATGGCCTTTTTCCGTGTCATAAACCTTGTTTTACGAAACCGATTTAACGGGTCAGTTAGGTGGTTGTAACGGTCGACGCTGAGAACAAGAAGGGTCAGAATTGAGGTGGGTACAGCGATGTAAAAAACAGTACTCCATAGCTTGCACATAGTTTTACCGTAAAACCAGGTTCCTCGTAGGAAAAATTCTTCTGTTTGTAATGGAGTGACGGTAGTCACGGTAAGCAGATCAGAGAACGCCAGAGAGAATAGGAGGATTGTTGTGGGATTGCTTCGAAGGCTTTTGTCCACTAGGATCGCAAAGCAAACCATGATGTTCCCAATTACTGCCACCACTACAATGATTATATAAACGGTCAATACAGGAAACTTGAAGGCATCTGTAAATGAATAACTCCATTCATCACGGGCAACACTTGGATGTGATCCAGACGAGTTATTCATCTTCTGATTTGAGTATATCAATGATGTTTCTCCTTGCTGAGATCTCACTTTCACTTCTTGGTCGAAAAAGAAGTTTTCTGCGTCGTCAAGTTGTAACCATATTCGCCGGAGTTTCAGAGAGAATCAAGTTGTTTTGCAAGTCTGCCTTCGGAATCAATTCCCATGAAAAATCAATACATATCAGATTCAATACACACTGAGGAGCATAACGAGATGACAGCGCTAAATCGTTCAAGATTATTAGCTGGTCATAGTTGACCCTAAAGTAACCAACTTTTGTTTCCTTGGAGTCACGTCTGCCGTATATTTTTAACCCGTTTAAAAATGTTGTATATTTGGAAGTTTGAAGGTTTGAATGATAGATCCTTTCCATAATCAAAATATTATGGATGCTATAACGATATTCTAGTATCTATTTTCTGAACTAATACCGATTTCCGCCCAGACAACATTGTGAATGAAATACCAAACGTCTACGTGTGATTGGAATTTCAGAGATGACTAAAATTCTCAAGAAAGAGAATAATTCGATTTCGCTCTTTCAAACCAACCGAGAGCTTAATAATCAAGCTTTTACTAAGCTAGAAAAAAATATTGATGTCCAAGTTTAATTAGATTTTCGAGACAATGAAGTATACTGACCCCGTTTTAAGTGATATTAGTGATACTGTCACGTATACCTTTTACTACAGACTGTGCTCAAGGAAAAGGAGAAAAAGAGGATATTTCTTCTCGACATTGGCTAACGAGGCAGAGGGCAGACATAATGGGAGCGAGTTAAAGCTATAAATTTGCAGGGAGAGCTGAAGATTGATAAATATACTCTTGCGTGTCACGAATATCGTTCAAGGAAACAAAATCGAGATTTACTGAGGCATTATTTATGCTAATCTGCAATCAACCTTCACGAATATTGTCTTGAAGGCACAATCTCTGATCTCCCAAGATAATTTTACCGAACTATGGCTCAGCCCGTGTGAAAATCTTGTCAAAGCGGCTTTTGCGTCAAATTTGCGTTTCATTGTAAGTGTCGCTTTCATAAACAGTTGATGTCATCGTTCCAAAAAATAGAAATAAAAAAAAAATATGTATATATATATAGGTATATATATATATATATATATATATATATATATATATATATATATATTTGGTCTGCTTTTCAATTGGATGCTATTATCATTAATATCATTATGGTCATTAATATAATTATCGTTATAATTATTGTTATCATCATTATGTTGCATAACATTACGTTGCATTATTATTACCTTCATTGTTTTTATTATTATTATTGTCATTATTTCTATTCCAAGTGCTGAATGCCAAACATATGATGACACCGAGGCTTAATTATTTTCACAACAAAATCTCTGTCCTTTACACAACCATGCTGGCCCTTCGCAATAAAAAGCATTACGCATTTAAAGTTAAAGGGTTGACAGACCTACCAGGAACTTTTAACTTACATTTAGGCTCCACCTGGACATCTTTCTTTCCGCAGTCACCTTGTGTCCTAGTTCTTGCTGTTTTCACGTTTTTTGGTTGCTATTTTCAATGATCTGCTATGTCAGATTCATCAATCGCTCTGACGAAGGCCGAACGCTAGAGACGTCAGCTTTTTAACTCTTTACGGTGGCCAATTTACGTTTTCAACTCAGTTGTTACCTGCTATACTCTCCCACCGACGCAGCACTATAGTTTCTTTAGAAACTTACCCCTTTATTCCTTTGCCCGACAGCTTGGTTACCAATACTAACATCGTCGGGAAAAGGTATCTCGTCGACCAAAGTTACCCCGGCTGACCCAGACTATGTATTACAAATGTTTCGTCACCAGCCAGCTCTTGACCCCAGGGCAGTTCTTTGTCGTCAAATGAATGGTCTTTTTTTTTTTAATAATTTATCAGCGAATCAAAAAGTTGGTGCGTTTGAGTCCATTAACTTGGAAAAAGGGTTTTTCATTTTTCAAAATGAAAGGAGCAAGAATCAATAATTAAAATATCAAGCCATTATATATGCTATCATGCAGTTTAAAAGCATCAACAATAACACTTGACAGGGTGCTTAAGGTTAACATGGGATTAAACTCTCTCATTAGTCTCAGTTCTGCCAGTTTAATTGAGGAAGTAAACAAAGAAAACTTTTTCCTTACAAGATCAACACATTTTTGAGTTGAGGGTGAAGAGAAGAAAGAAAAGTATCAACTTTGGGATATTGTTTACCTTAACCTCAAACCTGCGAACAGGTCCTTATAATTAGTACTGCAGGACGAGGGTTTCTTCGCCCGCGGGTAAGTTAAAGGCCATGCGCAAAGTTGGGGGTGTGACTGATAGCTATTAGTGATCTGGAGTGATCTTGCACTAATATTCAGTACCAGACCCCTAGCAGGCCTCGCGCTGGCTCACTTTTCTCCAGGCCTCCAACGAACGGTTCTGGCGGGCCAAATTAACAGTTAATTTATGGCAAATAGTGAGAATTTAAATCTAAATCTTGTGAGTAAAATTTGTCGCTTTCAAAAAGGACTTTGATCTGCGTTGTAATATAACGAAATGACAGCTTTCTTTAAGCTTTTCCCCATCTTTCTTCATCTCTGTTTTTATTCCCAAGACGCGTAGCCTGATATAAACAGTTATGATACATAATACAATACATGTATATGGCTGTGATAGTAGAACAATATACTTTTACGGTTAAGTACATATCCAAACTCGTTCAATGATTCAGTTTTTTCTGCATTGAAACTAGTCCTGAGTCAAGAAACTGTATGTACAACGACTACAACCACATCCCTGTACGTGATACTCTAAGTTTGTTAACCTGAAAGGGGCCTAGCACACAGGAGGTCTTTGTCCATAGACCTTAAAAAGATTGCAGTTTGTCGAAGAAAATCCACTGGTTGTTTGTCTTCAGTTCAGGTTAAAAAGCTGCCTATTTAAATTGATCAGCTTAACCCAATAATGCTATCGATTCCAAGCAATTAAAGCTAAGTTTCACCATAAACTATATATAAATTGATGTATACACTATATATGCATTTGAGTTACAATAGTAGCTATTTAACACGGCTCTAAATGTTTTTTCTCGCTGCATATGGAGCGTGATTTCGATTTAAGCATCTCTTTACCTTAATGGTGTTAACTATTATAGTCGAGCTAAAAATACAGTTGCATCGTTTTCGTTCTGATTCTTTTTGCGTTTTGAGCTAATTATTGCGCACGAAATCCAATTTCTTTTTCTTCACATACCCGCTCCAACTTTCATTACATGCTAATCACAAAAAATTGACATGAACTGAACAATGAGATTGTTGGTTTTGTCAACTGAGTTGATCAGTAATGTAAATCGGCGCCTGTAGAGAGTTTCTTAGGCTCAGACGAAGGGCTAACGCTCATAACGTCAGCTTTAGCAACTTTTGACTCTCCAATTCACATTACTATCTCAGTTGGTAAAATCAAACTACGTATCTTGTGATAAACCCCATCGATGTAGCACCACAGTTTCTTTTGGAACTTACTAACTTCATAAATTGAGCTGTTTCTCATGATTAACCGATCGCTCTGCGGCAAACAATGCTAACTTTAATTTCTGTTATTTCACAGTATATTTAGCGTTCATCACTCTGTATATGGCTTTTTTAATTTCCTATAACGCGATAACAAACTTCAAACTTAAGCCTTTATGAAAATGAAATTTTAAGTCGCGAAATCGTGAAATCCCGCGCGGTTTCTTCTTAAATACATTATAACCGCCTCAATAGCGCAAAAAATCAGCATTGTGAGCGAAATCCAATCTCAAATGCGGGGAATCTCAAATTTTTTCAATCGCGAGAAGCAGTCACAGCTAAGCCGTATCCGTGAGATCAATTTACTCCATCTCAAACTTCGAATTCAGTTTGAGTAAAACCTCGTTTGTTGACAAGCCGTAGTGATCATGATAGTTTCTAAGCCTAACTTTTTAAAAATACGAATGTAACAACATACCTATATAACTAATCTAAGTAACCAGAAAATCTAGGAAATTTATATACCCCATGCAATTCCAGTTTCAGTACTTAATAATAATGTGGCAACTCTCCACTTTAACTTTGACAGATAAATATGCCGGGTCATGAAAGTAAATAAATGGGTTAACCTTCTTCTTTTAGATTGGCAAGATAGGCATAACGGGCAGCTAGAATTGACAACTGCAAATTAATGAAGTGCGCTTCAGCCAATCTTTTGTCAATTTCTGTAAAAATCCTTGTTTGTATATAAGGGAACAGTCATTTTTATATCGCTGGAGGGGGGATTTGGGGGGTATTACATGGTTTTCAGGGGGAATGGAAGGGAGATTAGTTGTCACTAACAGGGTATAAGGGAGGGGGGGGACTTTAGAAAATTGCATATAAGGGGAGGGGGTTTCATGAGAATATTACAGAGGCTATGTGGGGGGGGGGGGGGGGGGGGGGGGGGGGGGGGGGGGGAGATAAAATAAATAAATTTTATCTTGACACTGAACCAAAATACTCCGAATGACACTAAACAATTTCGAAGCAGCATACAATTCTTCTCTCCTCTACTCCCGCTTCGGCCTCACCGATTGGAGACGAACATTCATATCTTGCGAATCTAGAACTTCGGAGCCGATCGTGCTTTGCGTCAGTGTCGAGCGGCTAATTTTTCTTTCGGGCTTAGAACGAGCTTTTAGTGATCTCACCATCAGCGAGTAGGTGGCCTTAAATCTGCGGTTACGGAATGCAAAAAGAAACGGATTGAGCGCTGAGTTTAGGTACCCAAACATTAACAAAACGATGCGAGCTTCATAGGGGATACTGCCCGTACATGACTCGCCGCAAATGAACGCGATAATACTGACCGAGGAAAATGGCACCCAGCAACAGAAAAAAGCCCCCACAAAAATAGATATTGTCTTAGCTGCTCTTACATTTCTGGTATACACCTTTTTCTCTTCGGTGGAACGAAATTTTCGGCTGTCATCTCCTTCAACGTTCTTGTGATGAGTGGAAGCGATCGTATAAATCTTAATATAGATTCCACATGTTACCAATAGTGGCAAAATGAAATTCAGAACAGAAGTCAGAATGAAATAAACCCGGGTGAAAGGGAAATAACAAACTTTGTCGTGGACAAAATAGTCAGCTGTCCGCCAACCCATGACAGGAAGCAAAGCGCTCAAAAAACTGTACAGCCAGATTATAAAGCAGATAAAGAAAGCTCTTTTCCGAGTCATGAATCTGCAACGTCTAAAACGATTTAGAGGATCACTGAGGCTTTTGTATCGATCCACGCTGACGGCCAACAGGGTCAAAATCGAGGTTGGTACGGTTATTAGGTACATCGTTATCCATGCTCTGCACATAATCTCTCCATGATTCCAAACCCACTGAAGACAGATCCCTTCTATATCAAATGGCAAAACCAGTGTGACTGTCAGGAGATCGGACAACGCCAGGGAGAAAATAAAGAGGTTCGTTGGATTGATGCGCAAGTTTCTGTTGGCGAGTATAGCGTAACAAACTAGAAGATTTCCCACTGCAGCTACTGTTAATATAATTATATGACACGTCGCGACTGGATACACGAATCCTGGCATGAAATCAAAAGTTTGAATTTCCTCGGCGCTTGAGTTGAGTTTGTGCTGTGCGAGCGAGTTGTTCATTGCGTTACTTGCTAAAAAAAATTAGAGAAGGGTTCAATTGAATTTCCCGGCTTCGTCCGTTCAGCTCTACGGGGTGACCGTCCTTATCTCGGTGTTTCCTCAGCCAAAATGAACAGTCTTTGTTATCCTTAGTCCATTAAGTGTCTTGTTGTGAGTCACTTGATTTCAAAAACAAGGCACCTTTTTTCTAAGTACCGGAAAGTTACCAAGAGTGTTTTAAGACCTTACGAGACCGACTTGTCAAGACTGATTATAAATGAGAGATATTCTCCTCCTTAATTACCCCTAAAATGAAAAAAATATGAAGCACTTTGTCATTAAAGTCGGCAACAACAGGAGAAGGTTAATAGAATATGTTTATTTTAGTTCTTGATAAGAAGTAGAGAGGTTGGCTTAAGCTAGGCATAATCAGCTAAAGAGGAAGCTAATTCGTGAATAGGAATGAATAATGTTAATAGGTTTCGCTTGCAGCATACAAGCTTTCCTCCCGTCTATGGTTCATTGATAAGTATCCGAATATTTTGCAATAGAATCGTAGCGCAAAGTTGTCCCGTAGATTCATTGCAAACGCGAATGAGTACAAAAATTTTATAGGCAGAAAGCAACGCATTTGAAATTAAAAAAAACAATCTTATGGAAAGGAGGCCAGAGTAAGGGAAGGCATTTTCATGAAATAATGTATTGTTCTAAAGATCTGGATGGGCGGCTAAAAAAAATAACCGATGCAAAAAGTTGCGAGTTTTGGAAAGGTATAATTAACACATTTTGGTTCCACTTCATAGCAAAGCATATTTTGATTGATGTTGAATGCTACCTTTTTAATGAAAGATTGAGTGATTGAGACTTACAAGCCAACAAGTTCGAAGTTTTCCAATTAAACAGTAAGCTAGCAAATATATATCATATTGACAGAGAAAACAAGGAACCAACATATCGCAGTTTTTATTTAAAGTTTTTTCATTGTTAATAAGTTCATGATTACTTCCTTTAATAACTTAACAACTGTGTCGTTAATTGCGAGACGGAGTAATCTTTACGGGGAATAATTCTATTTTCGGTATTGCTTTTATTTTGAACTTGAATTCATATCGTGCACTCGTAGCCCTCTGAGTCGATCGTCAGACCGAAAAACTCATGGTCCCTAAAGCACGCAACTCAAAAAAAAACAAATTTTAGGAACTAACGGTCTCTAATACAACTCACGTCACTTGAAGGTCCATTCTCATCGAATGACTTTCACCAATTCTCTCCTGGAGTCATGGCGTTCAAAGCTCAAAATATTAATCTTTGAATGAATATGATTATGTTTTGAATATACATATCGCAAAAACTTGCTATTGTGCCGGCTGATTATGTTGTATATTTCCTTTATACCTTCCTAGACGTTATTGTTTTCAATTCTGCAAGAAATAGCCATGCAGTTTATGAAGAAAATCTTCCCTTTCTGATGAGTAATCTTTACAGCGCGTTATCGCATGTTGTCGCCAAATACGCCTCCTGTGGCAACTAATTACTACAGGCGGATTAACTGAATCTCAGAGGTTTTCATTTCAGTGCTTGCGGGTTCGGCAATTCAGTGAGCTTAATGACATCCACAGTTGTTATCAAATTGCCTTCCGAAATATTAAGTGAGTTTCATTGCGGATGAATTCGGCGAAAGATGTAAACATATCGAGTAATGCCCTTTCACTATTTTTACATAACAGGTTAGAATAAAAATATTGTGTTGTGATGCTTTCCTTCCTTTTTTTTTTTTTGCTAACAGAAATACCAGTGATTTCCTGGTTACACTGATACCTTCAGAGCGTGGGATCATTCTTAGATCCTTAACATTTCATTTGAAACAAGTATTATTTTACACCGTGTCTTTTACATCGCTCTATGTGTATTGAAAGAAAGACAATATTTCAACCAAAACAACTCCGTCTTGGCGCCGAATTCACTCAGTATTTCAGCTATCTTGCATAGCTTAAGGAAGTTCAAAGTTGCTCCGTTGCACTGTTACAGATCCAAAGGATCTATAGGTAAGAACAATGTGGACTGAGAAGCATAAAAAAAAATTGATTGACCGATAAAACAACATAAATATTTTTCGATTTCTGGTAAGCGGAGATTTATGAACCGTTAAAGAAATTATTTAAACTTAATTATAGCTGTTACACAGAGGATTGCATTAAATGTGATAAATGTTTGGGGAGAAATAAGCATTTGAATACGAAGACAACACATATAGAGTGGGCTAGATATTCGATGTATTTGAAGTTGGAGGCTTTCGAGGAAGTGATCTCTATGTGAGAAAGAATATCATGTGAGAAAACAATATCATGGAACATAAAAGGATACCGAACGGGTAAAAAACCTCTTAAAAATATTAACGTCTGAAACATAAGCGATTAATACCACAATATAAGCACATTTTCTTACGTAAATAATATTTACTATTTTCACATTAAATTTGAATTGTTGTTCAATTTCAAATCCAATGGAAAAAAGTGGTCGGTGTCGACCGTGAAAAATACCTCAAAAACTACTTTTTCCAAAATTATACTCAGTTCATTTAGTATGAATGAGAAGAGATAAGTGAGCCGAGTGCCTATATCTGCATTACAAGATGACTGAAAGCGTATATTTCCTTGGGGCTACCTAATGAGACAATATAACAAATCTCACAATAACTTAGTGTAATTAGAAGGTAAATGTGATCATGCTTCCATTTCAGTTTTCCTTTCTGTATTATTGCTATCGCATCTTTCATACATTTCGTTCCCCAACAACTATCTTTAAAGTTGTTTTGGCCGCCAAAAAACAATGAAGAAAAAAATGTCAATGATTTTTCCGCAAAAAGTTCAACGATAATGGATCTCAACCATACGTGAAAATCACAGAAACTAATGATTACAACGTACTGATAACTTTCAATTTCGCCCAAAATAAAGAAAGATGCATAAACACCAGTGTAATGTGACAAGAAAGAAAAAGATAATAGCCCGAGCGAGTGCAATTCTTTTTTCGCGTCGTTTCCTAAAACAAAATTTAGTGTGTCTATCAAATAAAATATTGCAGCGACGATAATACACGACTGAGTGTATTGATGAGGGTGTGTTTCTTAATTCCTCCTTCCAGGTGTTTATTCCAAGTGGAAAAAAAGTTCATGCAAATACCGAAAATGTAGTATTTTGTTTTTAGCAACTTAACGTACGAGACCCCGTCGGAGAATGAAAAATTCTTCAACGTTTTTCAACACAAATTATGACCAATCCGTGTAATTTTCAATTCTACACTATTACTTTGTATTCCTTCGTCAGATGCTTCTAAAATATATACTTTTCCAAATGGATAAAAGCTGAAAATACTAATCATGATGTATATGAGATTGATATAAATAAGGTTTCTTCTTTGTTTCTAATAACAATTTCATCGATATCCGTTTTTTTTTTAATACACCACGTGACGCGGAAATTTTAGATCAAAGACTTCCTTCAAGGACAAAACTAAAACTTTGAACATCTAAGTCATGCCTTTGGCTGCTCTAATGCTTGCCTTGAAGCGGTTGCATGGAAGATTGAAAACCTTTCCGCTAAACATCTTATTTCTACGTCAGATTGCCGCGGTCATCACGAGTGTATGAGTTTCAGCCCCTTGTGTAGTAAAGATATCACTAAGTTATCTTTACTGACTAGTTCATAAATTAACCATGTCTCTCCAGGTTTTCTTAAAGAAGTTGCAGTACATTACGTACTGAGAACTGTTTATGAATTCCAATTTGGTTTTTGAGGACCTCGGGGAATGTAAGGCGGAAGGAAGATTTTTTGCTAGATAACATACCTTTAAATTTATGCAATGATCGGCGGTCTTTACTGCTCTTAAAAGGAGTATCACGGGAACATTTCTCCTCAGGAAATTTTGCCGCCAGCAAGTTAATGAAATTTACTCGTACATTTCATCTTAATATTTGCCGGCTTAATTTTGGAGTAAATGTTGTATCTATTTTGTTTTGCGACATTATTTTATCTTCTCGCAGAGCAAAAGCATCTATAACTGTTAAAAAGAAAATAAAATGTGTAAAAGCATGCGCAGATACAAAGTTTGTCGGATGGATGGCACCGAATATGAAACGAGATAAAAACTGGTTACTTACTTCGACATGGAGTTATCTCTTTGAAAATGTGAAGAATAATTGTTTTTCTGTTGTTCCCTTGGGAATGATAACCAATTTATTGTATGTTGCGATCATTTTCTTACATAAAATGTTGCCATTAAAACTTTACGGCTTCTTAGGAAAACCCTATAGTAACAAACAAAGATTTATTTTTCTGCAAAATTTTAGAAAGATCTGCAACTGCAGCACACAGCGACCTTGATTTTTGGGTTGTTTAGCCTTACATATAAGCAAAATGAACAGAATGAACCATAATAATTGGGTTATTTTTCTCAAGAAGGAACATCTGAGTATTATTTCTGACAGAAAACAAAGTGTGTTACCACAGAACAACAACTTCAAGTAAAAGTCAAATATTCTATCATTACCTATCGAAGTCTGGGAACAAACTCATTAGGAATAGTAATACCTGCTTTATTCTTAATAACCTGTATGAAATTTAACTCAGCAAGTTCTAAAAGTACCATAGCTGTGAAAGATACCATCTAAGTAATCTGGTGGAACTCTGTAATCTGTTCAGCTTGATAAAAAAAGAACAAATAAACTTTGTGCGACAAAATCTTTCTCACCTCACATAAGCTCCAGCTGTGAGATGATCATCTTACGCAATAACGGTCATGGCGGAATTATAAGAGTTTGTATGGGCATATTTACGACCGCCCTCAGGAATAAAAAAAATACGTCAAATTCTCAAAAAAAATACCTCACCTCGCTTCCACAGCGTATTGCTTGTTATCTGACCGCTTACTTTGATGAAAAGAGCCCATTTGAGCGAGTTGTTCATTTCGAGGTTTTCAACGTACATAAGAAAAGCCCAAGGCTGAACACTTCATTTCCGAACGCCTGATCCGAGAAGCGAAAAATCCAAGCTCAAAATGACCGGGCGGCCACAAATCTAACACAGAATCCAAGCACACATACTGTAGTTTCATTTCAATTCACTACAAACTCAATCTTCCCCGTGCAACCGACGCTAAGCCGCAGTTTGCTTCAAAAATTTCTAGTTTAGAGGTTTCTAACAGCCCGCGACCACATCAACCTTGACACACGACCGTTGAAACCCTACCTCCTTTTCAAACTGAGCCTCGCCGGGGACCACACCGTCAGTTATCATCAATAA